GTGGGTTATGAAGTCGCTCGGCTGGGACGAAAAAGGCATTTGTGTGGACGGACGGTTCCCCTCGAATCTCCACTTTGCGGACGACATCGTTCTCTTTTCGAGCAGCATTGCGGAAGCTGAGACCATGCTTGATGAAGAAGTTAGGGCTGCGGAACAACCTAACGAAGACACAGTTCATGAAGAATGCTGGGGCCGACGAAGGTCGAATTAAGATCGATGGTACACCCATCAAGGAGACCTCGTCATACGTTTGTATCGGGCGTTCCATGAATATAAACAAAGAGGAAGAACTGGTGAGGCAGCAGAAAGCAGCGTGGGCAGCCTTCGGACCTCTGAAAGAGATCTACAATTATCTGGCTGATCCGGAACATCGCGCTAAGCTGTTCGATTCCATATGCGCTCTGTTACGGGTCGGATACTCGGGTGACTAGTGCATTCACGTCAAGGGCTCTGAGAACAAGTCACAGAGCGCTCGAGCGATGACTCTTGAGGTTCAATCGACACACGCAATATCGAGCCGGACTCTGCAGCTCCGACATGCGCAGAATGTCTCGATTCCGCGATCCGCGGAATACATGAAGAGCGCAAACTTTCGGTGGGCCGGTCATATAATGAGAAGAGATGATGTCAGATGAACAAGAAGAACACTAAAGTGGGCTCCCATGGGATCTTCACGATCTAAGGGTAGGCCTGCTGCGAGATGGGAGTGTGCTTGTCGATCACGTGAAACAACTGCGACAGCAGCTGAACGACTCCTCACATCGCCATCTCCGTCGAATCCTGAGTCTATCGTGGATGGCGATCGCGAAAGACAGAAGCGAATGGTTTTTTGTTGGTGCTCGCACATTAGTGAAGACGAGCCGTATAAGTATAAGTAAATAAGACAAGTTTGGAATGGGTGGGGCCTGAGACAGGATTAACAGAGAACATACGAGCTCTGCGGAGCTCTGCCCACGGGGGGTAGGGTAAGTGCCAGGATGGGCGGTGCCAACAGTCAATCATCTTACTTTTGCTTCGAAAAAGTCCAGACAAGGGGAAAAATGTTCGGGGGTGAGGATCGGGTCAACAAACTCTACGGAGGAGACCCGCGGCTGTGGGCGGGGCTCCCTCGAAATGGTCGGTTCTTTTCAGATGTATTCATAACTCGATTCAATTAGGGCGCAGAGTCCAGCAAAAAAATGGAAAGAGTGAGCAGGGCCTTATGCGTGCTGCGCATGCGTAGGCTTAGTGAAGCCCCTCCCACGGTGAGCGGGACCGGCGTCGAGACAACAGCCACTTCTCAAAAATGAACGCAGCTTTGCTTGGAAACGTTCTAGAATGCGGGAAAAAGTGGTTAGAGGTAATGGAACAAATGGAGCCAATTCCTCGAAAAGCGGAGTTGGCACTGAAGTGGGCGGAGCTTAGGTCAAAAGTTTATAATGCTGCTCCGAGAAGTTCTGGGATGCGGCAAAAAGGTGTTAAGGTGTAAAAGGACAAATGTGGTCAAATTCCAGAAGTTGGCAGGGTTTAGACAAAATTTCGTAACTCCATGCAGAAACGGTCTAGAATGTGGGAAAGAAGTGGTTAAAGGTAATGGAACAAATGTGGCCAAATCCTCGAAGTAGGCAGGGTTGGCACTAAAGTGCGTGGGTGTTGGATCACAAATTTATAACTCTATCTAGAAACATTCTGGAATACGGGAAAAAAGAGGTCAGATATAGTAGAAGAAATGTGGCCAAATCCCAGAATTGGGCGGAGTTGGCACTGAAGTGGGCGGGG